AGCCCGATACCACAGTCTTTTAATCAGTTTTCATCTCCAATTTCCTTAATTATTTCTGAAAAAACAATTTCACAGAAAAGTTCATTTCTCGGGCTCTAGACCTCGGAATTCGACTCCGGGCATATGCCCGAGTCCCATATTTTTCTACGGACCCTCCGGGACCGTCAAATCGCGGGTCCGGGTCCGTTTTCCCAAAACGTTGACCGAAGTTAAACTTAATCAATATAAATAACAAGATTTAACAATTTTTCTCACAAATTTCATATTTGAACTTTTCGGCTACGCGCCCGGACTGCGCACACAACTCGAGGCAACCCCAAATGAGGTTTCCAGGGCCTCAGAAGTATAGAGGGAGTAGGAATACAGGTGATGACCCCTTTGGGTCGTCACAATAAGTTAACTCTCTCTCTTCGCTATTTACTTCTGATTGATGCTAGAGAACCAGAGCATTTTGTTGAAGCAATGCAGGTGATAGACTCTGATAAGTAGAATTTACCCATGAATGAAGAGATGAATTATCTTCAAAAGAATAAACACATGGATACTTACAGAGTTACCGAAAGTAAAGAAGACATTGCAGAACAAGTGGGGGAACAGAGTCAAGGAAGAGCATAATGGTAAGAAGAGATACGAAGCACGATTAGCAGTAAAAGACTTTCAACAGAAGGAAGGAATTGACTACACCAAGATCTTCTCTCCTGTAGCCAAATTAACTACTATCATGTTGGTGCTAAGTATCGTAGCCATAGAAAATTTGCATTTGGAGCAGCTAGATGTTAAAACTGCTTTCTTGCATGGTGACCTTGAAGAAGACATTTACATGAAGCAACCGGCAGGTTTTCAAGTTTCTGGTAAAGAAAACCTTGTGTGTAAGTTGAGTAAGAGTTTGTATGGTTTGAAACAAGCTCCCCGACAATGGTACAAGAAATTTGATGGATTCATGCATAACAATGGTTTCACACAATGTGAGATGGACCATTGTTGTTATATCAAAAATCTTGATGAACCCTATATCATTTTACTGTTGTACGTTGATGATATGCTAATTGCAGGATCTAGCATAAATGAGATCAACATGGTTAAGCAACAACCGGAGGAGGAGTTTGAAATAAAAGACTTAGGACCAGCTAAGCAAATGCTTGGGATGAGGATTAGCATAAACAGGTCCGAAGGAACCTTAAAATTGCCTCAAGAAAAGTACATACAGAAAGTACTAAGTAGGTTCAGTCTTCATTATGAAAAAGCCAGAAGCACTCCACTCGGAAGCCATCTTAATATGTCGAAGAAATAATCACCTAAGACAGATGAAGAAAGGAAGTACATGTCCAAAGTTTCATATGATTGTTTGCACTAGACCTGACATAGCCTATGCAGTTGGAGTTTTCAGTAGATACATATCAGATCCAGGAAAGAAGCATTGGGAAGGTGTAAAATGAATATTGCGATATCTCAAGGCACCTCAGGTATGACACTTTGTTTTAAAAAGAACAATATTATCTTACAAGGTTTTGCTGATGCAAATTTAGGCGGCGATCTAGATAGTCGAAAAAGCACCATAGGCTTCGTGTTCACCTTGGGTGGTACTGTTGTTATCTGGATTTCCAGACTTCAGAAAAGTGTTGCTCCATGTACCACTGAAGCAGAGCACATGGCAATCTCAGAAGCTGGAAAAGAGATGATTCGACTCAAGAATTTTCTTAAAGAGCTAGGTAAAGAGCAGGACAATTGTGAGCTTTTTAGCGATAGCCAGAGCGCAATTCATCTTGCCAAGAATCCAGTATTTCATGCAAGATCAAAGCACATCCAATTGAGGTATCATCATATCCGAGAGTTGATAAGGTGAAGGAACTCTTTCCCTGCAGAAGATACGAGGATCAAAGAACCCGTCAAACATGTTGACCAAAGTTGTCGGTGTTGACAAACTAAGGCTGTGCACTGCCTCAGTTAGCCTTCAAGACTAATAGCGTGAAGGCGCCACTAGAAAATAGTAAATATTTTTTTAATTTCTTTCTTGATGTAACATAGGTTGGAGGAGGAGATTGATAGGAGCAAACCTGTTTTTGTATGTGAAAGAAAGAAAAGTCAAAGATAGAAGAAAAAAAAAGGCAGAAGAATTCATCTTTGAATTCTTTTCTTATGACATAAGCGCTTATGTCTGCAGGTTGAATTCTTTTCTTGTGACTCTAGTGCTTACGTCGGCAGGGCATTCAAATGCCTATAAAAGGGGTCTGCATTTTCATTTGCAGATCATCCCGCAACTTCTTCTTTCTCTTCAATTAATAAAGAGCTATTCTTTGTGTGGCCGTGGAATAGGAAAAGTTGCCGAACCACGAAATCTTGTCTTCTGCAATTTATTGCTTTTCTCTTTTAAATATTTTTTCCCTTCTATTAGCCTGACACGCTTCCCAACAAGCCATAATCACGAGCAAATACTAAATGGACAGTAAAAGATGCATAATTTAATATTCCATCCATTTTGATTGAGATGACACATTTCGCTTATCGAGAGTCAAAGTACAAAAAATTAACATATAAAATATATGTTGTTATCATATTGACATGAGAAATTTATAACCTATAGTACTTTTCGTGTAGTTTTTGTGTATCCAATTTTTAATATTAAAATACTAAGTTGAACTAATTTAATTTAGCTTCAAAGTTTAGTCAAATTAACTCTCGATAAACGAAATGTGTCATCTAAATTGAAACAGATGGAGCAATTAATAATATAGGTATGTAGCTAGACCTTAAAGTACATTAAAGATTACAGTGTTAGGTAAAGAGGAAATAGATGGACGCAGATTCGACCTAAGTCATTGATATGAGGTTTTTTTTTTTAAACCAACTGCACATTTTATTCATCTTCAAAAAGGATTACATTTGGGCTGAGGGATTTGAAATTAGGAAAATTACCAGCTATGTCCATTTATAGGTAGCTCATTACAAAAATTGGCCAATTGATAAAATATTACTAATATTAGCCAAATTAGCCAATTAGCTATTTGTAGCAAAAAATATCAAATTTTTACTTTGTTTTGAGTGGGTGTTATTAGAATAGATTAGGCACAACTTAAGGAGCTTGAATCTCAGTTTTGGGATGATTTGGTGAAGTTTTGAGGTGGTTTGAATTGAAAATCGAAGTAAAAGCTGAACATGAAAAAAAAAATATGTGTATCACACTGTGTATCATTTGTGTATCACATATGTACCATTTTTGTATCAATTGTGTATCACATGTATATCCATGTATACCTGTGTGTGAGATACATGCGTGATACATGTGTCGCAGAAGACTTTTTTGAACTCGATTTAATTATGAATTTTGATACAAGAACCACTCCAAATCACCTCCAATCTTTCTCAAATTTTGTATATTGACTTATCTATATATTTTCAATGGTTTTCAACTATACCCATTAAAAAAGTTCCTTTTTTGTTTAGATTTTTGGAATATTTGTATAGATTTTTGTATTTCATCACCTTATTTGCTACCCCGTCCATGAAATTTCTTTTCCGTCTTGTATCTAATGTTGCTAATCACACTTAAAAATATGGAAGGTGATTTTTGCATGTGATTCTTTGAGAGAAAGAACCCTATTATTTGGTTTTTCAACTTTTGTTGGCTAGTTTTGGTAAGTCTATGACTAATGACTAGAGGTTGGTAAGTTGAGATTTATTTGGGACATTTGTGTAAGTTTCCCTTGAAATTACCCAACAACATTCCTATTCTACACTGATAAAGCAAAACTATCTTTATTACACTTGAGATGAAGTACATGCATTTGGTGAGTGGATGCTAGACCAATGAACCATGTAAAGGCGAGGTATCCAGCCTGTACAAAAAGACCATCCAAAAAATTCTAATTCTACAAATGTACATAGACATGCTCAAGGTGGTTGGAAGGATTATATTGGACTTGTTCTGTTAAATATGCGAAAAGCAGGAAAGTTCCACCTATCCATATTCATTAGGCGTTTGACTTGAGGTAGAAGTTCAGTAAAATTATGATATAATTGAGATTATGTGGAAGCATGACTTAGGGAATCTAATTGTTTGCTGACTTAATTTGTCTCTCTGAACATGAATTGCTATCAAGCTTCAATATGCTCATCTAGTAACCTTATTTTCTTGTTAGGATGTTCCCCATCTCGGAAATACTTAGAAGCACACACATTCGCACACACTGACCATACCCATGAATTACCATCGTGGCAAACATACGTACACTTTTCACCGCCTATATATATATTTAGGAGGAAAGAAATTTTTTTTTTACAATGCAGCCACTGCATTACATAAGCTTAGGCTTTGAGGTTTAAATTCTTGGGAAGTGCTGTTCAAAGTCATCAAATATCGACCATTACTCTTGCACCGAACATAGGTAAAAAGTAGAGGCCGGAACCAAAATATTGGCAATGAACCATAATATCGTGTAAAACAAAAGAACTAAACTACCTATAACACATGCAACTAATGCGCTCTATTGACCGAAAATTGACAATGCAACTTAACGGCCGTGAAGCGAGGAATAGGAGATGCTTTGAAGGAATCAGATCTTCAGTGTATCAGCTGAAATATACTTTTTGTATAGTATTTATATTGTTGGTCTTAAATTGACACTGTAGATGTTGTAAATCAGATGTTAGACTTCATTAGCTCCCTGCATAGCCAGATAGGGATGCTTTTACCCAGCTGTAAATAACTTCTGTTAGCCAGCACTCATTTGGTGCTGTCCAGTAGTCAAAATTAAATTACCTTACTTCTCCTGATTGGCCCAGCAATTTCTTTTACTCCCTTACTTCAAGGAACCTTACAAAATAGATTCTTCTTTGCAGTTTAACAACAAACTCACATGACCTTATTTCATTATTAAAGATTTACGCTTAATTGCTAGATGTATTAGTACTTTAGTTTGCTCACATTGTATATGTTGTAGGCATTGGCTGTTCTAACAATTAGAGACTATATTGACCAAACCAGAGTAGAAGAAGGCTGAGTATAGAACTTCAAGAAAGCTAAACAACATGTAGAAATATATAACACTAAGTAAGAAATAGATAACACTTGATCTAACGATAAATGAAAAACCATACCTCTACATCACAGACACAAAAGATTCATATATCATAGACATAGTATGAGAATGTATATTGTAACTCACTGTTAAACCACTGCTGCTTCTTGGGCCTTCTCTGCATCCTTGGGGCTTTCAGCAACAACTAGCTCTTTAGCATCTGCTTCTTTTATCATTTTCAGGATGTCTGCCTTTTCCTGTTGAAGTGCTTCAATTTTTCCATTGATCTTCTCCAACTTCGTTTTTAACTTGTTCAGATCTTTGCTTTTATATATATCCTCAGTTTTCCTTTTCTTCTCACTTTTATCCTTTTTCTTGTCGCTCTCTTTCTCATCTTTACCTTCCTTTCCTTTCTGCTTTTGTTGGCTTTCATGTTCTGCTTCCGTATCTGACATTTTATTTCCTCCGCCTATTTTTATCTCCCTAGTAGTGACTTCAGTTTCATGTCCCTTTTCATCAACCTTATCCTTGTCCTCCTTGCATTTCTTTTCCTTATCTTTCTTAGTTTCTTTCTCTTTTCTTCCATGCGCTTCATCATCTGCCTCTAACTCCTCTCTGTTCTTGGTTTTGTTTCCTTTCTCCTTCTCTTCCTTGTGTTTCTTCTCTTTATGCTTCTTTTTCTCTTTACCGCCGTCCTTCTCTTCCTCCATTTCCTCCTTCAACTCCACGTCACTCTTGTCTTTCTTTTCTTTATCTTTGTCCTTCTTTTCCTTGTTGTGTTTCTTCTCTTTATCCTTCTTCCTCCCTGTTTCTTCCAAAGACTCCTCTTTGCTTTTTTCTTTCTTTTCTTCATCTTTGTCCTCCTTTTTTCCCTTCTTAGCTTTCTTCTCATCGTCCTTCTTGTCGTTCTTATCATCCTTCTCTTCCTCACCTTCTACCTCCAGCTTCTGTTTGCTCCTGTCTTTCTTTTCTTGATCTTTATCCTTGCCCTTGTTCTTTTCCTTCTTGTGTTTCTTATCTTTATCCTCATCCCCCTTCTCATCAACCTTTTCTTTCGACTCCTTTTTTTTATTGTCTTTCTTTTCTTTATCTATGTCCTTCTTTTTTTCCTTCATGTGTTTCTTCTCTTTCTCATCATCCTTCTTTTCCTCTAACTCCTCTTTGCTCTTGTCTTCCTTTCCTTTGCTTTCTTTATCTTTATCCTTCTTCTTTTCCTTTTTTGGTTTCTTCTCTTCATCCTGGTTCCTCTCTTTCTCGGCATCTTTCTCCTCCTTTTGTTTCTCCAACTCATTCTTGAACTTATCTTTCTTCTCTTTATCCTTTTTCTCTTTCTTTTCCTTGTGTTTCTTCTCTTCCTCTACATCTTGTGAGTCATCTTCTTTCTCTTCCCCTTTTTCATCTTCGTGTTTTTCCTTCGACTCGCTCTTGGTCAACTTGTCTTTATCTTTCTTTTCTTGCATGTCCTTGTGTTTCTTCTCTTTATCCTTGTCCATCTTCTGCTTTGGTTTTTCTTTCTCAACTGATTTGGTCTTCAAATCGAGTTCCACCTCAGTTTTCTCTTTTACTTCATCAGACTTCTTTATCTTCTTTTCGACTTTGAGATGAATTTCTTCCTTTTCCATCTTTCCTTCTTCCCTGGAAACACCAGCATTTTTGTCTTCCATCTCCAAAATTGTCCTCCGCGTCAATAAGCCTTTAATGTCTCTAAGTTATCTGACAAGAACAAATTGGATAAATGATAAGGTTCGAATTCTGATGGGCAAATAAAAGCATTAGGTAGAAAGCAAAAGTAGAATCACAGAAAAAGATAAAAAAATATTCAGGACAACAATGTTTTTATAGATTGGTTCTGACAAATCCGATCCAGTTGATAGCAGATTGAACTCAATAAGCCACTCTACTTGTTCTTAAAGCATTTCAATCGTTGACGTAAATTCTGTCAGAATTAACTGCATTTTAAACCATAAAACAAAGCCAAATACACAGGAATCCTTCAGCTGCAACTTGATGATGCTGGGGAAAAAGAAAGAAGCCGTAGTGGAACCACCCAGCAATATATTCAATACCTAGCAGCCTCCGAAGTATCATCAAATGAACCAATCCCATGCCACAATACATACCTTCGGCTTCTAACTAATTGGTGTGCCCATAAACCACAATGACCAGTAAACATAGTTTTATGTAAAGAAACCGTTACCTACATAGAAATGATTTTTGCCTATTCCCCCTCATAGATGCAGCACTCAAAAGAATTTAGATAACATCATAGGTCGTAGAATATGTCAGGAACCTCTTCCAAACCTAACAGTGTTTATAAACAATGGTAGTAAGACATGAAATTTACCTATACTCAAATCCTAATCCATCAACTAAACCATTGACATGAATTCCCCATACTGTAATACACATTCTCCACATTGAAATTTGAAGGACTGATCAGTTTTTAACAGGTCAATACAGAAGACGTCCCAATATGCAATGATAAAAAAAAGTACACACGACATAGGAGGTAATAAAATACTTCAGAGATACTCAGTCCTACTAAAAGAGATTATAGATACTAAGTATACATTCCCCTAAGCTCCAACAGAAAGTTTTTTCAATTGGAAAAAGAAACATCTTGTTTGATCACTTTTCTAACAGATCAATATACAAGATGTACTCTAATTCGGGTAGCAGGATGGCTAATATCACACTTGGAGCTTAATTTTCTCTTTATCATATGATTGAGTGTTTGGTACACCAAAAGGTGGAAACCTTTTCCCTCTTGATTCACAAAAAGTTGCGTGGAGGTTCTCTTCCCTGGGAGGGGGATGTTTTTGGTCATCCCACTACGGTATAAATTTCAAATTGGCATCCAAAAAATATTCAAAAGTAGATTAGAAATTCATACAAAAATCTTGCACTAGATCACCATTATAATCTTATTCAAAATGGATTAAACTTTAAGACTTACCCTTTTCACTAAGAAGCAGAAGAACTCCAAGAAAGTCAGAAAAAAGTTTGTTCTTTGGTGCTACTTTTATAGATGGTAGAGAAGTAAAAGGAGAGAGAATGGGATTAGATGTAACGCGTTTGATACGAGTCTATGGTCTTAAATGGCAGCAAATGTAAGATTGGTTCGATTCTTCCTTTATGTCCAGTGTAACTTAGCTTCTTGGTTAAGGAAACAACTGGAGAAACTTCACAGGAATAGAGATCGGGAGAAGCTGCGTGTAACTAACTGGTCGTGTTTCTGAGGTAGGAGTCAATACGTGGGACTTCTAAGTTGATCTTGAACTTCACACGATAGCATTATTTTTATCGTTTCCTTGAGAAATAGGAAAAGAAAAAGAAAGGAACAGTTGCAAAGCTTTTTTCTTTGGATTGTTTTTCCTTTAATGCAGAGGAAAATATGGTTCAATCTCTAAAGGGAAAAGGGTCTAATATATGCTTCTATTTTGGCATATTATATAAATTTACCCTTGGTTATACCGTTGGGATATATCTAGCCTTATTAATAGCCAAATATTTTAAAAATACTCTCTACCTAATAGAATCTCACCAAATTAAAAAATACGTTTTTTTTTTAAAACCCATTAATAACCCATTAAAGTCTTTTTATTTACTGTGTTCTTCTACACATATTAGTCATCTCCTTCGTAGTCACTTGTTGAACTCAAGAAGTGAAAGACATAAAAATACTGACAACCATATATTCATTTATATATTGAGTCCCAATTCTTTTAATATCCTTATCGTATGTTTATTATATTCTACCTTTTCCAATTTCTTTTTTTTTTAGTCTAGCTTCTCTCTTTATTTTTTTCCACCATGTCAAACTTTACCGAATATTTATTAGGATTTTCTTTCCACCATGACTTGAATGTTTATAACATCTTATTAGGTTAATAGTTTTGAAGTCTTAAGGCAGCTACAAAAGTATTTTTTCCTCCAATAGTGAGCCTTTATTGATGAGTATTCACGCACCATGATTTTCTTATTCTGCTTCAAGCATTTGGGTAACAAGTAATCATCACCAAAGTACGCCTTAGAACCAAAGTTAGATTCTAAGCTATGGGATGGGATACTCAGAATTTTTAGTAACAAGTGAACTTATAATAAACAAAAATTAGAAAATAATTAGAAGAGATTCAATTTAGTATCAAGCTACAGCCTAAAGAATCATGAAGAATGAAAGAAAGTACACCAACAAGTTGGAAAGCAAATCAACAACCTAAGTACACTGACTTCATGTATTAACTAAATACATGTATTATTAAAATATATATCAGTTGTTACCAACATTCAAACCAACTGTCAAGTGTGAATTATATTAGACAAAGGGATGCCATATTATAACCACACACGCAAAAAAAACGAAAGTGATAACATGATATCCTAATGCCACCATGAACAACTAATAACCAAAAAAATATGTTCTTATGAATTCCACCATCATTCACGGTCTCTCTCTAAATAAATAAAATGTGTTATGACGTCTCAAAACTTTAGGTTACGCATTTTTAATGATGGGCTTAACCTGTTATGGATTAATGAATTTTTTTTAAAATAATTATTTTATTAATCTGCTAGCTTTCCGTTGGGTGGAGAGTATTTTTAAAAAGTTTGGCTAACGGTAAAGATAAATATGGACCAATAGTATAACGGAGGATAGATGTGAATAATATATTAAAGTAAAGGGTTATATTTGGCCCTTTTTCCATCTCTAAATAAGAGATTTCCGAAGACAAGTAACGTAGAAGTTATATTATATCTATCGTTGTTCAGTGATTAATAATTTAAGTATTATTATTATTATCATCATTGTATTAATACTAGTAAATATAATCGCACTTTGCGTGATTGTAAAAGAATTATTTAGTAAATGAATTCAATACATGAGAAAGAAAACAATCGTAACAACATATATTTGAATTAATCCATAAACTAATTCATCCATTTAGTAGGGGTTAATTCAACATTTGGGTTATTAAGAAATATTCAAAAAGAGCATTATAAAAGGGACTTACGAAGTTAACTTAATTTAGAGTATAAATATTCATTTTCTCAAGCTTTTATCAACAATAACATATTTATGTGGTCCTACAAGTGATCTGATTGCGTAGGATGTATGCAAATTTTATCTGTATCTTGTGTAAGGTAGGGAGCCAAAATAATACTATGACGACTCGATAGGTCGTTTTGAGTATTAGTCATTATTTTTTTGTTTCGAGACCTCTCATAGCTTCCATAGATGTTATATAACTTGTGCACGTAGTCCGTGTTATTTTTCGGAAAGTTTTTACGTAAAATTTTTAAAAACTATAATTTTTGGTTCTAAAAACAACTTGAGTTGACCATGGTCAATATTCTTGGTAAAAGTCTCGGGTCGGTGTTTTGACAATTTCGGTTGGTTATTATAATGTTTTTGGACTTGTACACATATTTGGTTGGCGTCTAGGGTGAACCGCGCGAGTTTCGGTGCATTTTGTGAGAAATTGTGAAAAATGAGTTTTCAAGTTGAAATCTTGAGTTTTGATGATCGATTCTTGTTATTTGATATTATTTTCATGATTTGAGATAGAGAACAATTTTATATGATATTATTACACTTGTGTTCATGTTGGATTTGGAGCCCGAGGGGCTCGGGTGAGTTTCAGATAGGTATCAGATCATTTTGAACTTGTAGCACTGTTGTTTCTGGTGTCTTGTGCTTCGCGATCGCGAAGCTTCTCTCACGATCTCGAAGGGGAAACTTGGGCTGGGGGAAGGTTTCTCTTCGTGAACGCTAAGAAAATGGGGGGGGGGGGGGGGGGGTCTTCGCTTCGCGAACGCGACAAGCATCTCGTGAACACGTGGTTTTGGGGTGACTGGGGGAAGACAGGTGGTTTCTCTTCGCGGACCAGGGTTCGCGAACGCGATGGAAATCTGAGGATTTAGCCTTCGCGAACGCGATGGCCTTTTGGCCAGTGCTCTTCGCCAACGCGTCAGGTGCTTCGCGAACGCGAAGAATACCTCGCGCGCAGCTACTTAAAATCTGAAAGTCAGGATTCTTTTGCAAAACTCCATTTTTTAAAGTTAAAACTCGGTCTAGAGGCGATTTTGAAGAGATTTTCTTCCCCACTTCATTGGTTGGTGATTTTTAACTAGTTTTGATTTATTTTCATAATCACTCATTGATTTTAACCTTTAACATATGAATTTTCATGGTAGAAATTAGGGATTTTGGGTAGAAATTAGGAATTTTGTGAAATTTGGATTTAGACCTCATATTGAGGTCAGATTTTGAAACAAATCACATAACCAGGCTCGGGGGTGAATGGATAATCGGGTTTTGATCCGAATCTCGGGTTTAGACCAAGCGGGCACGTGATTGACTTTTGTTGGTTTTTTTCCAATTTTTTGATTAATGATCAAATATTTTTCAATCCTGAGTAGTTTCTAAAGATTATTTTGAATTATTTGGACTATATTCGGCTAGATTTGATTGGTTTAGAGACTAATTCTAATGAAAAATCCGTGGTTGAGCATTGATTGGTTGTGGAAAGAAGTAAGTATTGTGGTTAACCTTGACTTGAGGGAATTAAGACTTGATTGGACTATTTTCTGTTTGATTTATGTATGGCGACAACGTATATATAAGGTAACGAGTGTATATGCATAATTACGGGAGGTATTTATTTTTTGTTTTTAATTAATTCATGCCTTCATTTAGTCTATGTAATTAATTTTTAAATGCTTTAATTGTTAATTGTAGTTACTTGTTAAATTCATACCTTATCCATCACATGCCTTAATTGCTAATTGCTTCCATGTATTCGTGTCTTGATTTATTAATTATCATTACTTGCTATTTGACCTTGTGTGCTATTAGATTACTATTTTTATCCGCTTTATGACTTTAGTTATGTAATTCTCTTATTGCTTTTCATCTGGATTGCGTCGTAATTGATTGTATATGTTTATTTATATTATTATCATGTGGGATCGAATTGTGCGCCGCAATAATTATTGGTATTATTATGTGGGATCGAGTTGCGCGTTGCAACAAATGTTGTATATTTATATTTTGGATTGGGTTGTGCGCTGCAACGGAGAAAAATATGCTATTTATATATTTGTGGATCGGGTTGTATGTCGCAACAGAGAAGACATTATTTATTGGTATATTTGTGAATCGGGTTGTGTGCCACAATAGAGAAGACGTAATTTAACTATTTTGAGCTATTATTTTCCGTATCCGTGTTGTAATGTGGAGGTTGAGCTTTGATGTTATTCTGGAGCCTTCTGTTATGTAGTTTTTTTCCACCTTCCACGGTATATTTGTTTTCTCTCAGTTGTTGTTATTTCAGTATATTCGTACAGGTTTATACTGAGTGCCTTGTTATAGCCTCGTCACTACCTCATCGAGGATAGGCTCGGTACTTACAGAGTACATGGGGTCGGTTGTACTCATGCTACACTTTTGTACTTCTTGTGTAGATTTTGTTATTGATCCTAGCGGCAGTTAGAGGAGGCTTGCTCGGATTAGCTGATCACGAAGACTTGAGGTATAGCTGCATGGTGTCCGCAGCCCTGAAGTACCCTCCCTTTTCCAGCTCTACTGTTTATTTTTATTTCAAACAGTTATACTTTCATTCAGACTTTGATTGTAGCACTGTTAGAATGCTCATGTACTTGTGACACCAGATCCCGGGTTTGATTAGTCAGCGTTTGAAGTTATTATATCTGCTTTTAAAACTCTACAATTTTATTCTTATCAAAATTTCTTTTAAAATTATTATTTGTATACTAATATTGGCTTGCCTAGCAAGTGGACATTAGGCGCCATCACGGCCCCGAGGTTGGGATTCCGGGTTGTGACAAGTTGGTATCAAAGCGCTAGGTTGTCTAGGTCTCACGAGTCATGAGCAAGCTTAGTAGAGTCTGGAGGATCTGTGCAGAGAAGTTTGTACTTTTCTTCTAGAGGCTATAGGGCTTTTTGAAAATCTCACTTCTTTCTTTCTCTATGGTGCGACTTTATTCTATCACTGAAGTTTGAGCATTCTATCCTTATTCTCTTGCAGATGGCAATAACACGCACAACATCCACAGCCGAGCAGGAGTGGAAGCTCTAGGTTGCAGCCACTACCAGGGATAGGGGCCGGGGCCGAGGTCCAGCTAGAGGTACAGGCAGGGGCGGAGCTCAACCTAGAGCCCGTACAGCTGCACCTATTGCAGAGCCTCAGATTGAGCAGGAGGAGGAGATCCCTGCTCCAACAATGCAGTTGGACCATCTCAGGTCCAGGAGGGGTTCATAGCTACTCCCGTACTTCAGGACGCTCTAGTGCATTTCCTATAGTACCGGTCGTCTCT